TTACATCAATCATGCATAGACGGAAAATACTAATGACTATCGATGATTTAAAACTGGTACAAATAAAAAGACAGTCTATAAATCCTTCTCACAAAGAAGGAACAGCGACAGCAGCATTCTATGGTCAATTTGAGGGTGATTTCAGTTTGCCACTGCCTGTTGATCAGTTAAAAGAACATAAATATGAAAACGTGTCATCATGTACATTGCTGCTTGATAATCCACAACACGCTGATTTATATTCTCGTATTCAACAATGGATTGGTGAATTGCCAAACGATTGTGATATAGACAGAATTGAACTAATAAGTAATTCAGGTCGTTATCGATTTTTTTTAGAACAATTACAAACTGTTGAAGCACGACAAGATCAGCCGGCATTCCAGCCAAGGTTATGCTATGAAAGTAATGAAGAAGAAAGAAAGAAAGTGCTGGAAAAACTTATGAATTTATGTAAACAAGTAGGACATAATCGAAAAGCAAACATTGTACGTATGTGGCATGGTTGTTCGAAAGAAAAATTGTCATATTTATTAAATAATGGATTTGCTACAATTGGGACACTCGATGATGGTTGGTATGGTAAAGCAATGTATTTCACGTCATCAGCAAAATATGCAACTCGTTATAGTTATAAAGACGGTTGTCTGATACTATGCTATATACTGGTTCTAAATCCATTTCCAGTTATAGCAAGTGATGCTCCACCTAATGTTGCGCCTGAATGTTTTCGTTTTTATGGAAAAGGAAATCACCGAAATTATCAATGTCATTACATTCCGGTCTCACCTGTCAACGTTAGTGATGAACAAACCACAATGGATTATCGTCCGCCTATAACTGGAACTGAGAATGCAATTTTTGATGAAATAGCCGTTTTTCAAGAGGCTAATATTCTACCACAAATTGTCGTGCATTTAAAATCTGATTATATAACAGTACTTCAGAACGAGTCATAACAAAATCAGTGTTTTCTTGACGGTTATAGGTCAGCTATAACCGTAGCTACTAACTTAAGATTACTTCTTAAGTTTTTCAGAGCCACTTAGTGGTTTTGTGATCTTGTCTATACAGAGAAATCCTGCTGGTATGAAATTAAGGGTATTTGTAAACTACGTTCCGGGATAGCCGAGAGAGATTCGTAAACCATACACCCACCCACACCCAGCCAAAATCCGTTTACACACACCTAAACTAACCTCTAGTCAGATGGTTAGATAGAGGATGATGAGCTGTCTTTACATCTTCCCATATTTCATCCTCGAAATTGCCTCTAAAGAAGCAAAAGGTTTGCCTTTTTTGTATTATGGTAGCATATTATTCTAAGTTGTCCAGTTATCTTTAACTGATTAATGAGAGTGATGATATTGTTCATCTATACACAAAGTCAGTTGACGATGAATTATCATCAATATGTTTATCTATTTACCAATAATAAACTATAAATATTAACTTATGAACACTTTAATACTAGCATCCATCCCATAACACTAGGCATTCGGTTCTTTTTGAATAACTCAAGAACGATTAAAGATAGAGACTTGCAATTTTCAGCAATCAAAAGAGGACACTTTAACCTATATTTCCATAAGCAAAGCCGTTCCTCGAATCGGTTTTATACGCGATCTTTAGACACTGGAATAGCAATCCTTTCAGTTCCCTTTCATAAAACCACGAGATCCAGGATCGAAAGTTCTTCTGGTGTGGCAACGGGTGTGACCCGTATTTTCGACCGGTTTTCTCTCTTATCTAACATCGGTTTCAAAATAAAACGCCCCAAATCTCTAGCTCTTACAGTCCCGGAGTTATAGGCATTCTCCGACGACCACTCTATCTCGTACTAGACATGTCCAGCAACCTTATAAGCACATGTTATATTGACAACCAAATGCGCTGATCATCGCGGCTACCTGTATTTTCTTCAGCATTCAATGTACGAAAGGCCCTACACTTGTTTTCCCGGTATGGCACGGTCCGTACATTGAATGCTGATTCACTAAAACGTGCTGTAAAGAGCTCAGAGACGTCTCATTTCCTTCAGAAATGTTTGCTCTACACAATGGCGCTTTTCCAACGAATTTTCAGGTTGAACTTTGGGAGTTGGTTTTCTGAGATTTTGGCTATCCGGAGACCCTGGTTTAAAGAGCTATGATAGAACCCTTTTAAACAGCACAGCAAATGCCGAATTCTATCAGCTGTTCTAATCTTTTTTCAAATTTGTGCTAGCTTGTATGGTCCACGAGAAAAATCAAAAATAAAGGTTCCGAGCAATTTTAACACTAGCATTTGAACTAGTCACATAGCAAAGAAATAGTAGTAGAGACTTACGCGTTTCAAAATTCGCTACTGATTCCTCATCCCACTGTTCGTGTCGTTTCCAGACGAATTTGATGTTGCTCCATTTTTGTCCACAGCTCGTTTAGTTGATGGGATCTACAAAGTAAAACATGACAGAGATGGGCGAGTAGGCAGATTTTCGAGTATGAGTACGAGTACGAGTATTTTTAGAAGAAGAAAATACTCATGAAAAAGTTATTTTAATTATAGGTTATTCTATGTTAAAAAATTTCAAATACTCGAAAATACTAGTGTACATTTTTAAG